AAAGACTCTATATGCTTTGCTGTGAGAAGAATATCCAAGAAAGATTCCCTCATCACTCCTAGGATCAAACTTATCAAGCTGGTCCTTCCCATTATTGTGAATGAAACATTTACATCCAAAAACACGAAAGTATGAAATATTGGGCTTTCGACCTTTAAGGAGTTCATAGGGAGTCTTATTAATCTTTGGTCTAATGATACCTCTATTCAAAATATAGCAAGCAGTGTCCACAGCTTCACTCCAAAAACTCTTAGGGAGACCACTCTCAATGAGCATCGTCCTCGCCATTTCCTCAAGAGTTCTGTTCTTCCTTTCTACAACACCATTTTGTTGTGGTGTTCTTGGAGCTGAGAAGTTGTGATTTACTCCATGTTCCTTACAATAATCAAAAAAGTTAGCATTTTCAAATTCAGTACCATGGTCAGATCTTACCGAGATCAGCTTATGAGTAAGCTGGTTCTCCATTTGTTTCACCAAGGCTACCCATTCTTCGAAGGTCTCATCTGTTGTGTGTAGCATCATTACCCAAGTGTACCTAGAGTAATCATCAACCATAACACAGACATATCTATAGCCTCTTCGACTTTGTACTCTCATGGGTCCACATAAATCAATGTGTACAAGTTCGAAGGGCCTGCTGGTACCCAAAACATTTTTAGGCTTAAAAGAGATTTTAACCTGTTTCCCCCTTACACATTCAGAGCACACTTTATCTGCTTCGTATTTAATGTTAGGAAGACCTACCACCAAATTACGTGCTTTAAGCTTGTTTAGAAGTGTTAGGCTAGCATGTCCAAATCTCTTATGCCAAATCCATTGATTATTATCAGAAACCGCTCTCAAACAGATGGACTTGTCTTGAGGGATGCTATCTAGGAAGCTAATGTAAACATCATGCTTCCTAGTTCCCTCACATACAAGTTCTTCTGTTTGTGAGTTAACTATGCGACATAGGTTGGCTTGAAACTCAACTCTATTACCTTTGTCACATAATTGAGAAATGCTCAAAAGATTATGTTGCAAGCCTTCAACATAATATACATCATCTATCGCAGTAGAAAGTGTCTTACCAACTTTACCTAAACCAGTGATGGTTCCCTTGCTATTATCTCTAAAGGTGACACTTCCTCCATCAAAGGCTACTAGTGAAAGAAATTGATTTTTATCCCCGGACATGTGTCTTGAGCAACCACTGTCCAAATACCAATAGGTACCTTCCTTCACTCTAGCCTGCAAGAACAGATTAAACATTAGTTTTAGGAACCCAAACATATTTGGGTCCCTTTTCAACCACATTCGAAGTTTGTTGATCTTTTCTTCTCCACACATACTTAACATTTTTGCTGCTCTTACTAATCCTTCTTGGACATCCATGGATTTTATGTCCATTATTACCACAATCATAGCATACATGCATTTCTTTGGTCATTACATATTTACCTCGCTGAAACTCCTTAATCCAGGTGGTCTCTCTAGGAAACCAGCTAGTCCTGGTTCTCTGTCTGGAATAGCCAAGACCAGCCTTTCCCATATTACCTCGTGATGAAGTGAGATGATTCAAAGTTTCCTTTGCTTTCAGTAGTTTGTCCACATGTCTATGACTCTCATGTAATTCTTTTTCTTTAGTTTCAAGTGTTTTAGCCAACAACTCGTTTTTGTTTTTCAAACCATCACATCTATCTTTCAAAGTTTCGAGTTGTGAGTTAAGATTTGAAATCATGGGATCAATAGACATGTCAACAACTACTGGCTGCCTATCTTTTTTCAATTGACTAGTTTCAGCATGCAAAAGACAGATAGAATCTTCATATTCATTAATCGTATTGCTGACTTCTACACTGGTCTCTGTAGGAGGATCAGGGGACTGAACATTTTTAAGTGAAGCAATTTCTTTGTAAGAATTTTCTAGGTTAAAAATCAATGTTTCAAAGGCCTTCAACACAGAAGTTCTATTACTGGAATTTGCTTTACGTAAAATATTTGAAACATCAAGCGCTTCACTAGTGGTTGATGAGTCTCCGGGAAACCAGGAGGTCAGATCTTCTTCACCATCACTCGGATAATCAAGTTCAGAAGATCTTTCCCTTTCTAGTTCCACTTTGCACTCGTCCAATTCAACTTCTAATTCAGCTACTTGATTTTTTAAATTATGGCAAACACTTTCTAGGTGATCACAACTAGCAATAGCAATATTACATTCAACATGCTTATCTTTTAGATCTTTCTTGCTAGTCATATAGACTTCACTCAATTTATAGCATTCATTTAATAAAGAGTCAATACAAGCAAGCATATTTTCTCTATCATATTCATGCATATCTTCTCTAGTTTGTTCAAAGTTTACCTTTCGTTCTTGTAGTACATCCTTCTTAGCCATCAAACATTTCTGGAATGTACTGGTTCCCTCTTTGGTTCCTAGACCAGTGATGTTCTCCTTAATATTTGTGAAAGCAGTTAAACAAACATCAGAGTTTGTTGAATCATCCTCTTCATCAGATCCTGAATCAGAGTCACCCCACATGGATGCAATCATAGCATTCTTGAATGCTCTCTTATCTCCAGATTGAGATTGTTTGTCCTTCCATCTTGGACAATCACGAATGATGTGTCCTTTCTCACCACATTTGAAGCAACCTGTAGAGGAAGATGAGTTAGATTTTTTAAAACTCTTAAAGTTCTTACCTTTGAAGTTCTTCTTTTGATCTCGAAGAGATCTCTCAAATCTTTTAGCAATCATGCTAATTTCGTCCTCTTCTTCCTCTACTGTTCCCTTCAGGGCAACACCTCTTACTAGTTCCTTCTCGGACTTAGACTCAATCAGCATTTCGTGAGTCATTAGGGAACCAATCAGTTGTTCCAGAGACAAGGTGGACAAGTCTTTTGCTTCATACACTGCTGTTACCTTCGCGGTCCAAGCATCTGTTAAACTACGCAAGATTTTTCTCACAAGATCTTCGTCAGAAAAACTTTTACCAAGTGATCTAAGATCATTAACAATAGTCATAAATCTACGAAAGCAATCATTGATTTTTTCATTCTTATTCATAGCAAATAACTCGTATTTAGACATGATTAAATCAATTTTAGACCGTTTTACCTCACTGGTTCCTTCAAACGCAAGTTCAAGAGTATCCCATATTTCTTTAGCACTACTACAGCCAGAAATACGATTTGTTTCGGTCTCACCTATTGCTTGTTGTAAGATGGACATTGCTTTGGCATTCTTCTCCAGCAATTTGTAATCAGCAGTGTCTAATTCACTATCCTTCTTGAGAACCTTGTTTCCCTTGTCATCTGTTTTGGTGATGATGTTTGGACCATTTTTGACAACCAACCAGCATTCATAGTCAATTCCCATGATAACATTTTGGATCCTGTTCTTCCACCAAGCATAATTATTCCCATTAAACTTAGGTGTTTTATTGTCATAACCAATAGCGCTTAATTCTTGAGTACTCATTCTTAACTCCTCTAGATGTTACTCTTACGAGAAGCCTAGGCTCTGATACCAATTGAAGGTTCTATGGGCACTCAAGAGGGGGGGGGGGGGTGAATTGAGTGTTAAGTAATCGTTGGCAATTTTTGCTTCTTTTCGAATCATGGTTAAGGGACCAGTTGTGTTGGTTCCCTTATGCAGCGGAATATAATAAAGCGATAAAGAACACAACAAATTTAACGAGGTTCAGCCAACTCTGGCCTACGTCCTCCTATCCTAAGTCCTTTATTAATCTACTCCGAATAACAAAGACAAAGAACACTCTGATGTTCCCTACTCCGGGAACCAGCAAACCCCACACTCTACTCCGAGTATGCTCTCAACTTACACTCGTAAGTTCTAAACGTGTTTGAACTCACAAACACTCACCCAGCCTTTAGCCTCTTTGCCAAAGACTCAATTACAAGATCAAAACTCTCTAATGATCTAACTCTCAAAAGTTAATGTAGAGAAAATATTAAACACTAGATGCTCTTGTATATGATTCAATAATGGATTTAGTGCTTTTGCTCTCAATAATGAAAAACTCCTTTTTATGCGTGTGAGAGATCTATTCAGATTATTAGCGAATAGATTGTATTTATAGTCTTAGAAAACCGAAATCCTAGTTACCATAAATCATGCCAATAAGATAAACATGATTTAGGTAAGTATTTATCTTTAATTGATTCTATTATAAGATAAAATCAACTCAAGATAATTACTCCTAGTTTTTAGGTATTTAAAGATTATATCACATCTATTTACAGCTGCCAAGATATATTTTCAAAACTGAATTTTCAATAAAAAATCTTTTTAAAATCGCAGCTCTAATAACCTGATCAGTTAACCTGGTCCCCAGACCTGGTTCCCTGACTTGAACATGTTATGAAATTTGTTCCAATCCTTGTACCAAATTTCACAACGATGCTCGATATATTTAAAGCACTTTATATATCCATTAATAAACCATACTACGGAGCATTTACATGAAGATCCTAAAAAGCTCTTTCTTGATGTGGATCTTCCTTCATGTAAACTTCAAGTCTTGAAAACCTTCTTTAGATAACCTCAATTGTAACCAATGGAACTTTCTTCAATCTCTTCGAAAGTCCTATCTGCTTCAAGACTTGGAATCAACTTATATTCTGCACAATCAATAAGGTTAATGCACAATATAAAGTAAGTGACTGTTGTACCACGTAGCAACCATGGAAACAGTACATACTGGTTCCCTACCAGTACATAACACTTTTATCATATAACTGTTCCCTGTATAAAGACAAGTTAGTTCAATAAGAAAACTCATGTAAGTAATAACTTGTCTGGGGAAACAGTGTTCTATGTTAGCTGGTTCCCCCAACTGTATCGAACACTTTCAAGGACCTGTTTCCCTTAGCTGTTTGTCATCATTCAAAACTATCAATCAAAACCTAAGGGACTCAACAAACGTCCACTCGTCCAGTACTCCAGTTTAATAAATACAAGTATATATTACAAGTATATAATAACTATAAAAATGTACCAATTTTCGTAAAAATTGCTCAGGGTTCCATCCATGCTTTGTTTGAAATTTGGAGCAAAAATCATTTGTTGTCTTCAGAAGAGCCTTGAAGCAAACTTTCATGCAGTTGGGTAATTGTGTAACATCAGCGGATTCCCATCTGTAATGCAATATTATTGGGAATATTATATTTTAGGAAATTATATGATAATATTTAGTTGCTATATTTTGTGCCTAGAATATAATCTTTTGAGATCTTTGTGATATTTCCTAATTTTATCACATTAGGGAAACCTTGTATTATATATTGGCTATGGTCGTATCAATGGGAGGAAAGTGATTGAGTTTATTCAATTTATCATATTCTCTCTATAATTTAGCATGGTATCAAGAGCAGGTTGAATTTTTTTTTCCACAATGGTCGGAGACACGTCTCCATTATTGTCACTTCATTATCTCGAAATTACAACCAATACACCGTTGTCCCTTGAGTTGCAAGGTCAACCTAGGAATTTTTTAACTTCTACCCAACTCAAAGCTACCAATTTCGATGATAAATCAGATAAAATTTGCAACAAAAGCTGCCATGTGGTGGCCAATTGTGATTTTCATGCATTCCCTCCACTACAAACACATCACAATACCATATACATGGCCGAGCACCATCCAGACCCACGAAATTTGATTCGTGCTAATGCCGTTTCAAGTACTACAGTTGAGACAATAACAGGATTGTTCGGTAATGTTCATATGCCCGAAAATTTTTTGACAGGAAAATTTGATGTTACCTCTTGGATAATTGACACAGGGGCAACTCATCATGTTACCGAAGACAAATCTTGGTTATTTGATACGCAGGGTTTTGAGTGTCCTGTTGGTCTTCCCAATGGTGACACCGTATTGGCTTCTTTAATTGGTTATGTTCGTTTGTCGGACAAGCTCACCCTAAACGGGGTTCTTTATGTTCCTAATTTGAGTTGTAATTTGCTTTCTGTGTCCCAAATTACAGATGAGCTTAATTGTACTGTCCAATTTAACTCTTATATGTGTGTTGTACAGGATCAAACGAAGGAGTTGATTGGAACGGGAGCTAGGAGAGACGGACTATATTATTTTAGCAATTCAGATTTGGTGAATCATGTTGATGTGGGTGAAGCTACGTCGACCTTGGAGTTGTGGCATCGTCGAATGGGTCATCCTTCTGAAAAAGTGGTTAAGTTACTTCCTCATGTCAGTGGAAATAAACATAATCTTGCTAAAGGGTGTGAGGTATGTATGCGTGCTAAACATCCTAGAGATAAATTTCCTTTAAGTGATGGTAGAGCTTCTAGGATTTTTGAGAAAATACATTGTGATTTGTGGGGTCCGTATCGACATGTCTCATCGTGCGGAGCTCGTTATTTTTTTACTGTCGTTGATGATTATTCCCGAGCTGTTTGGATTTACTTGTTGGTTGATAAAACTGAGGTGTTTCGAATGTTTTTAGCATTTGTTGCAATGGTTGATAGGCAATTTTCTCAAAATATTAAAGTTGTGCAAAGTGATAATGGTACGGAATTTAATTGCTTGCATGATTATTTTAGTGCTACCGGTATTGTTTTCCAAACCTCTTGTGTGGGGACTCCACAATAAAATGGGAGGGTTGAGAGAAAACACAAACACATTCTTGAAGTTGGGAGAGCTTTGAGGTTTCAAGCCAATTTGCCTATTTATTTTTGGGGGGAGTGTGTCCTTGCCGCTGCTCATCTAATTAATCGTACACCCACTCCCTTGTTACAAAATAAAACTCCATTTGAAATTTTGTTCAACAAACCACCTTTGTTTGATGCTCTCCGTACTTTTGGATGTCTTTGTTTTGCTCATAATCAGAAAAACAAATGGGGACAAGTTTGCCAGTCGGAGTAGGAAATGTATCTTTCTGGGATATCCCTTTGGGAAGAAAGGATGGAGATTGTATGATCTTGATTCAAAAGTCTTTTTTGTGTCACGAGACGTGAAGTTTGTTGAAGGGGTGTTTCCGTTTAGTTCCCCGGAAGATGTAAATATAACTTCTCCAATTTCTGATAATAATGATGACATACATGAGGATTTTTTGGGATATGACAGTGAGTTTGAATTGGGTGTTAATGGAGGTATGTATGTCGAGCAACAGGCAGCTCATAACTTCGAACAGTCTGCCCCCAACACAGTGCCCACTGCCACACCGCAGCCTTCACACGCGGGTGCACCTGCGGCTGAGCAGACTGCTCCAGCTTCCTCCGCAGCAATTCCTACGGGCGCAGGGTATACTCCACAGCCATTGAACCCAGCTGCTTCCTCAAGCGCTGGAATTCCAGCGACAGCTGGGTCTCGTATTCAGCCCGACAGCAGCAACACAGAGGCCGAGCAGCAACTTGATACCTCCAAGCAGCCTCAACCGGAGGTGTTAGGTAAAGGTCATCGTGTGAAAATTCCATCAGTCAAGTTGCGTGATTATGTGACACATTCTGTTTTTGCTAATAGTCCGTCTTCTTCCTCTCCGTCATCTAATACTCCTTCAGGTACGCCTTATCCTTTGGCCCACTATATAAATTGTGACATGTTTTCTGTAAATTATCGCAAATTTCTTGCAGCTGTTGTTTTGGGAAAGGATCCAAAATCTTTTAGAGAAGCCATGAAATCTGAAGGTTGGCGACGTTCTATGAAAGAAAAAATAAGGGCTTTGGAGGATAATGGGACTTGGACATTAGAGCATCTTCCTCCCGGTAAGATAGCTCTAGGTTGTCAATGGGTGTACAAGACAAAATTTTTGTCTAATGGTGATGTTGAGCGTCTAAAGTCTCGATTGGTTGTTTTTGGTAATCATCAACGAGAAGGCATTGATTATGGTGAGACCTTTGCTCCGGTTGCAAAAATGACTACTATTCGTGCTTTCCTTGCTATAGCGGTTTCAAAAAACTGGGAAATTTAGCAAATGGATGTTCATAATGCTTTCCTACATGGTGATCTAGAAGAGGAAGTGTACATGAAATTACCCCCAGGTTTTGAGAGTTCGGATTCAAGTTTGGTGTGTCGTTTGAGAAAGTCTTTGTATAGGTTGAAACAAGCTCCGAGATGTTGGTTTGCAAAACTCACTACGGCTCTAAAAGGGTACGGTTTAATTCAGTCTTACTCTGATTATTCTCTTTTCACATACTCTAAAGGCAATGTTCAGATTAATGTCTTAGTTTATGTTGATGATATTATTATTTCTGGGAATGATTCCGCTGCATTAAATGTGTTCAAAGCTTATCTTGGTGATTGTTTCAAGATGAAGGATCTTGGTCCTTTAAAATATTTTTTGGGCATTGAAGTTGCTCGTAGTAAATCAGGTTTGTTTTTGTGTCAACGAAAATACACCTTGGATATTGTTTCTAAAGCAGGGCTATTAGGTGCGAAACCAAGTGGTTTTCCGATTGAGCAGAGCCACAAGCTAAGTCTTGCTAGTGGTGAGTTACTTGAGAATCCCGAGTCTTATCGTAGACTGGTAGGGCGATTGATTTATCTCTCGGTGACTAGACCGGATTTGGCATATTCGGTTCATATTCTTTCACAGTTTATGCACGAGCCACGGGTTGAGCATTGGGAAGCAGCTCTCAGGGTGGTTCATTATTTAAAAGGTACCCCAGGACAGGGTATTTTGTTGAGTGCAGATAGTGACTTGACTTTGCAGGGCTGGTGTGATTCAGATTGGGCGGCGTGTCCTCTTACTCGTCGTTCGTTGACAGGTTGGCTTGTGTTCCTTGGTAAATCACCTATTTCTTGGAAGACCAAGAAACAACCCACAGTTGCCACATCCTCTTCTGAGGCTGAGTATCGTTGCATGTCTTCAACCACACATGAGTTGAAATGGTTGAAGGCCTTGCTTTTGAGTTTGGGTGTTGAACACCCTAAGGCGATCAAGTTGTTTTGTGATAATCAATCTGCTTTATATATAGCTCGAAATCCAGTTTTTCATGAACGTACGAAGCACATTGAGATTGATTGTCACATTGTTCGTGATGCCATTACAAAGGGCTTAATTGATCCTTCTTATGTTTCCACTAAGGAACAACTTGCAGACATTTTCTTGGGAAGTCTAAGTTTGATCATCTTCTTTCCAAGTTAGGCATTTACAATCCCCATGCTCCAACTTGAGGGGGGGTATTGGGAATATTATATTTTAGGAAATTATATGATAATATTTAGTTGCTATATTTTGTGCCTAGAATATAATCTTTTGAGATCTTTGTGATATTTCCTAATTTTATCACATTAGGGAAACCTTGTATTATATATTGGCTATGGCCGTATCAATGGGAGGAAAGTGATTGAGTTTATTCAATTTATCATATTCTCTCTATAATTTAGCAAATATTAACATATTCTATAATCAAATGTAAAACAATAATAATGCCTTATATATGTTAGATATTGCAAATTACACTACAAGTTCATGATGAAAATATGTTCTATTTTACTACTAGATTATTGTCCTAATTATGTTAGAAAACTTAATACGATAATTAAGACCCTGTTCACAACACCTTAAAAAAATAATATTCAGTAAAAATAATTTCAGTTCAGTAAAATTAATTATAGTTCAATAAAAATAAGTTTAGTTCAGCAAAAGTAATTACAGTTCAGTAATAATAATTTAATTTCAGTAAAAAATAATTTAATTTCAGTAAAAATAATTTCAGTTCAGTAAAAATAATTCTAATTCGGTAAAATGGGATATATTTTGTATATCAATATTCAAGTAAGTCAAATAAGTAAATTAAGTTGGCAAGTCGATTTTACAAGACGTACCTATTAATGGCTTCTGTGAATAGACATAGCTCATCGTACGTTCCATAAGCATCAAAAATGTCATCAATCACGTAGATAAATGATATTACTTTTGCAAGCTCTAATCTCTCTTCGGACATATCTAACCCAGGGAGAATTCCCATTGACCACATACACCACTTGAATGGTTCAATTCTTGCAAAGTGCAATTCCTTGTCCAAATTAACTTCGTTTCCCCATCTTGCAAAATTCCAAAATTTGTTATGTAATTAGATAGACATGGTATCACTAAAAAAAAATATGCTACTATCTTGCCAATGAAATATCACGTAAAGATCTTAATTTAATGTGATCGTACCCACCCACCCACCCGGCTACTCCTAGAAAAAAAAAGTCAAAACAGAAAGAGTTTTGAAGATGGCTTGAAGGAAGTACTAGCTATTACTATGATTTATTATGCTAGAATAATTGAACATTAACTTTTTTACAATGTGTAACGAAATTTTGAATTGTATTACAAAACATATTCATATTAGCATATGCATATCACCACAGTGCGTACGCACATAAAGTTAAAAAGATATGGATTTCAAAAATTAAACCAAATACATGTGGTGTTAAGCATAATATTTTATTGGCCCCAATCTCTCGTTAGGTTGTATATATATACTTGTTCATATAGTAATACAATTAAGGGTAAATTAATTCCTGACATGGTATCAGAGCCTCTAAACTTCTAAATCCTAAATTTTTTTCATTATCCAAGTTTCAATTGATCTTTATTATTGTTAAACTTACTTCGAAATTTGTTGTATTTCATTTTTGTAAGCCGTATGAGCCATGTCAAAATTCCTTCTAGCTAGCTCTTGTACCTCATCCAACCATTCGTTCACGTTGTCCAAATCTTGAAGAAGATTCAAAGAAACGTCGACATTGTGAAGGAAGTTTTGAACCAAAAGGCTTGAGAAGTTCTTATGATAAGGATTATGCATTGATGTATTCTCCATTATCATTCGAGCTTTCGAGTGTTCCACAATGTAGTTTAATGAGGCTTTTAGGAGCAACTCACTAACATTATTACAAGCTTCATTTATTAACATCTCTTCTTCTGGCTCTTGCGTTATTAGCTGAGAAGATTTATCCTTGAATTTCGTTTCGATATCTGTTCAACATTTATAGATCAAAGGGGAGATATTTACGTAGTTGTATGTACGGACTAAAAAATCCAAATGGATGGTCTAAAGTTTCACTAACACCAAACATATCCAAATGGACGTTATCCATGATACTCAGCTATCTTGTGTTTTTTTTTAAAAAAAAAAAAAAAAATTAAACCCACATTATTTCACAGTATTTAATAAATGTGAGTTTCACATAGCTAGATTTGAGAGATTATTAGAAGTGTAATTATGTAAGCCATGTATTTTTAAAAAAGGCAATAGTACAACTTTCAATTTTTTTTTTTCCGATTATAATGTCTTGCAAATATTGTGATATTTTCATTTTAAAAAAGTGTTGTAAGTATTAAAAACAGAGGAAGTATAACCTATACTTTGTACATGTCATAGTCATTCTAACGATAAATTTAGCAAGTACAAAAAATTATAGAATAACCCTTTTGACCATTAGATCAATACACAGTAACAAAAAGCTAATTTTCAAATAAAATTGCCCCTGATATAGAGGCTTTGCAGTGTGGACTAAAAATCTACAAAGTATTCGTAAACTCAAATTAGCCCATTGTCGTCACGTGTCACACTTCTCATTAATTTTTTTTTTCTCATTTATATAAATATTAGTTTAAATTATAAAAATTTATCCTTAAATCTAACTCATTACCTATGTTCAACATTATTTCGCTTGTATTTACTATCAATTTGCAAAAATATATAATAGTCCGTCACCATTCACAATTTTTCACAAACTAATAGTCACCACACAACAAGAACCTACTTATTTACCACAACAAATTAATAAAAATCTATATAGTACTCCCTCTATATGTTCCATAATAATTGATACATAGACTTTGACTTTTTCACTGCTTATATACTTCTAACCTTGATTATTGCTTTTGTGTAATATCACTAATATGTATCATCAAACGCAATTAGTATCATGTAAAAATGTCTGTATCGAATACTAATAATATGAAGTTTAAAAAAACTTAATTTTGTTAAACTTCATATTATTGATAGTCAAACTCATGCATTAACATATATGTGTAAAATTTGACAGGGGGCAGTTATAATGAAACGGAGAGAGCATTAAATAAGTAGAGTCGATATACAAAACACAAAAAAAAAAAAAAAAAAAAAAACCAATAGAATGTTTGTTGATGGTGAATGGTCAGTGATGAGTCCGATTAACATATTAAGATCTGTGCTTTCTTAAAAAAAAAAAAATTGACTACAACTAATAATTGTTACGGAGTTCATATATACCAAATTTTTTAAATAACTGATCGACAGGTGATTAGTAGGTTATTACCCAACCATTAATGGTGGGTGATTTTACTAAGCTTTTGAACCGAGTATATTTGTGTATTCTCTTTATTTCGTAGTAATCACAATATTTTTTTTTTTCATTTGTTTTCAATTAATTAATTACAACATTTTTTTGTACTAACATCAAAACAAAGGTTGTCACATAAAATTTTGTTAAATACTTGGTACATATTAATATAAAATTTCATTATTTCAAATTTTCAAGATTTTAATACTACTATAAATTATTTATATTCAATAATAAACTAGTCCAATGAAAAATATGTCAAATTTAATCGTGTCAATTATTATAAATCAGAGTTATTACAGTATATAATTCGAAAAATCACATAAAAAAGATTGGAGTATGTTAATCATTTCATTATCGCAAGGAGACATGGAGTCATCTAAATAGTACTCCGTATAATCATATTCCAAACCGACTAATTTAAACCGAGTAGACCAAGTATAGTTTTAATTTCAAACTATTAATCAATCTTGAATCCACCAATAGAAATGCTTTACCAACTCAAAAGTTTTATCAACAAAAACTGTACTCCGTACTTAATAATGCAAGAAAAACCTGTGGATAATGCATTTACATGCTCCCAATTAATCTCCCTATTATATCAACACCCGAAATTGACAAGATGTCATATTTTTCATGCATCCCTTACATATTGCATAATTATTAATGAGGTGCTTGTACGAATTCTGTTTTCCATTAGAGTTAAGCTCTGTTCACATTTACTTAATTTCACTTCAGTTCAATTCAGCTTCAATCAGTTCAATTCAGCTTCAATCAGTTCAGTTCTTAATTTCCCTTCCTCATAAAATATTCATTTCAGCTCAGTTTAGTTCAATTTAGTTCAGTTCAGCTTCAATCAGTTCAGTTTCAATCAGTTCAATTCAGCTCAGTTCAGTAAATATGAACAAACCCTTACCAATATCTTTTTTATACAAAGTTTAAGCAAAAGGGTGAGGTGATGGACTTATGGTGTTTTTCTAAAATATGGAATATATTGATAAATAAAAATAACTTCATCAATCACTAAAGAAAAGAAATGAATTAATTAATAGACATATAAATTTCAAGCAATTAATCAATTAATTAATGCACATATACATTTCAAGTAGTTTATCAATTTATATGGTGAGCTAATACGAAAAAAAAAAGAGAGATCATTTCTTCAATAAAATACTACCCGTGACATGCGAAGAGATGTGAAGGTAGATCAGAAATTTTGGTGGGACAATTTGTCAATTTTGGGTGGGATTTACACCACAATTGATCAAAAGTAGCATTAAAAAGATGCCAAAAATATAATAGTCCTTTATGATAGACAGATAGAGTGATAATGATGCTGATTAGCCTTTCCCCACCACCCTTTAACCCCACACATTACCACAATTTAAACGATCAAGACTTTGCTCCACGCTGCACAGAGCCACAGACCACTGGACCACAATTAAGGATACTTTTACATGTCTCAAAATAATTGGTACCTAGTACATGGGAATATGGGATTATTATTATTATTATTATTATTATTATTATTATATCTCAATTAAAAACATACAAAGTTATACAACCCATAGTAGGGATGGCAACGGGTCGGATTCGGATCGGGTGGAGCTTCACCCGCATCCATCCGCTACCTCCATCCACTCCACCCGATCCACCCACCACCCGCTAACCCCATCATCCACATCCGATCCACCCATCATCCGCGGGTGAAACGGGTGGATCGGATGATAAACGGGTGAAGATTAAACTTGTGTTATGAAATTAAACAAAAAAAAATGATGCTAAGTAATTCCTACTGTGCCATCTAAATCGGCATTGCAAAAATTAAAAAAAAAATATAGCACTAGCAATTTAGCATTACAAGATCAATTACTAGTACCACCAACTATGAAATACATGAACTATTGATATGATTAAGTTAAATAAGTGATTTGTGATGCCATTTTCCTTCAAAAATTCATGAAATTAATGAACTTAATCGCGTAAGAGGAGTCGCCGCCTCGCCCAAGAGGAGTGTGAGACGTTCTGGTGAGAAGTTGCCGGTAAAAATGGAATATTTGGTGTTGAGTAGAGAGTGTGAGGAACTAAAGAAGGAGAGAGACTGTTAGGAGGACTTGAGAGTTGAGAATGGATATGTGCGGCTAGCTGTATGTAGTATGTACATTAGATTAGGGTTTTTTTAAAAAGTTTTGTATTTTTTTTTATATAAAAATAAATGGGTGGATGATAAGCGGGTGATGGATCGGGTGACGGATGACTTAAAGCTCCACCCGAATCCGATCCGATCCGTCACCCGCTTCATCCACCACCCGCCTTTCATCCATTTAAGTCGGGTTTTCATCCATTTAATTTAAGCGGGTGGAGCGGGTTAATGGATATCCATACAAAATTGCCATCCTTAACCCATAGAAAGTTAGTGGGAAGCCGAGATACAATTTGGGCCCAATTTACAAAAAATTGGTAGGGAGCCGAGATACAATTTGGGACCCCACCCCTCTAGCTATAGCGAACCCGATCCTACTGAAGATGTGAGCAGCTGCACGAGCACCAATATCATGCGTCTTAGCGAACGCCTGAACCCGTTTCAGCAACGCAATAGCATCCTTATCTAATTCCCCTAACGAAGAAAAGGAGAAAGGAAGAAAACCATAGCCAATAGCCCTGCAGCATGCCCCATTATTATTATTATTATTATTATTATTATTATTATTATTATTATTATTATTATTATTATTATTATTACTCCCTCTATTTTTAAATACTTGCTTCATTTCCTTATTTGGAAAGTTTTTACAATATTTAATTCATTTCTCTAGTGAACCCAACATCAATCATTGTTTTTAAATTTCATATTCTATTTCCAAATTTTTCCACTTCTTTTGCTTTTTACAATTTTTATTCTTTCATTTACCCCACTACCTCCATATTTTATTAATTTCTCCAATTTCTCCTAAAACTCCGCACATGGAGAAATAGATCAAGTATTTGAAAACGGATGGAGTATTACTTTTTATTCATATACGAAGTACTAAGGGTGCGTTCTTTTTACATGATTTTTACTTATCTAAACTTATTTGATCTTGTATGAGCTTATTAGCCTTTACTAGAATTTATTTTAGTTATAAATTAAATTTGGGTAGTCCTGATTAACCCTTATCTGAACCTGTTTTTCCAGAACTTATCTGAATTTATCTAAACTTATTAACCCTAAAATAAGTGGGAGTAAGAGTTTGTTCACATTTACTGAGTTGAACTGATTGGAGCTGAAATGAATATTTTATGAGAGAGGGAAATTAGGAACTGAACTGAACTCAACTGATTGGAGTTGAACTGAAATTAAGTAAATGTGAACAGACCCTAAGGTTAACAGAACCGGGCCTAACTTTTACTATACTTTTTTAGTTTTTACTAGCATATATAATTAAAATATATTTTATCATAATATAAAAATGTAGTATATCATTTATATTTAGCCCCATTCACTTTACCTTATTTTTGTTGAACTTAAATTATTTTTACTCATGAAATTAATTTTCCGGAACTAAAATTATTTTTTGTTGAACTAGAATTATTTTTACTGATTTTATGTTATATTTCTTCTTTACAGTTACTGAACTGAAATTATTTTTACTAAAATGAACTTATTCTTACTGAACTGAAATTATTTTTGTTGAACTAAAATTATTTTTACTAGATATTCCTAATACGGAGTATTTTTATAAGGTGAAGTGGAGCCTTAATTACATAAAAATAAGATCAAATTAAGTACATTAACATATGTGCAACATTTAATTAATTATGTCAATTATTTTAAGACAAAGAAAATAAAATATCAAAGACTCTCATTGATAAAATACTTGTTTCCTATTCCCTATATCCTTTTATAATGTGCATGTTTATCTTAAAAAGTGTCCCCAGAAATTGTGCTTTTTTTCATTTTATTATAAAGTTGTACTTTAGGAAAAAAAATATGCCTACATTTCTCATTTTTATATCCTCCTACTCGTATCTCCCTTTGTTAGAGATATGTGATATCATTTTTTTTAGGGTAAAAGGTGGCTTAATTAATAGTTAGAACGTTTACAAAAGGTTGCCTACCCCTGTGGGCGTGGCACAAAAGTACATCCTGGGGGATATCCTCCCTTGAACTAGTAGTATTGTCTTTAGCTAAGGAATTAGTACAGATGTCTAGGGGTACAGTTATATTACATAGATGATTCAAAATATTTAGGTTCTCCCTTGCATCTTTCGCCAGAATGTCAGCCTCCATATTCTTCCCTCTTTCTCCATAGAAAAACTTGACCTCAGTTAGCCTTTGTAGCTGCAGCCTGAAATCAATTGTTTTTGGGGTTAGAGCAGTATCTACATTACTGACAAGATCATCAACAATGTATTTGCATGCAGTCACTCTCAATAATGCATTGGTTCCATCTTTTATCTTGAATCCAGCCCAAAGCTAGTTTGATTGCCATTAGCTCCGCATCCTTAGCATCTGTACAAAAACCTTTCCATTGGAAACCCTCTATCCATGAACCCAAGTGGTCTCTACAAACACCTGCACAGCCTGAAAGTTTGGAGTGTGGAAGGAATGAAGCATCTATGTTGATTTTTAGGAAGGGTTGAGGTGGGGGTCCCAGGCATAAGTTTTAGGCTCTCTTCTAGTGTGGTGATTTGTGGAGAAAAACCACTCACTAGCAGCCCAAAGGCATAGGGATTTAGAGGTTTTAACAAGGGTGTTGTGTTTTGAGAAAAGCCAAGAATTCCTCTTTTCTAAATATGCCATAGAGCAAAACTGAAGATGGTGTTCCAGGGAACAAAGTTTTGGAGAGGTTTTTTTGTTTCTGAGGTTTCTTATGATCCAGGTTTGGTTGCTTTCATTGTAAGTTTTTGGGCTAGTTGGGGGGTAAGTAAGCTCCTGCCAGAATTCAGAGGCTCTTGGACATAAGCTAAAAATTAAAGATGCTCAATGGTCTCTGTAACATTTGGACAGAAAGTGCAGGTGCTCACACTATTGATGTTTCTGAGGTGGAGATATTGGAAGGTTGGCAGTCTATCCCAGATGAGTTGCCAAAGAACACTTTGATTTAAGGATAAGTACAGGAGTCCCAGAGCACCTTCCAATCTCATTCCAGCTGGTGATGCTTATGACAGTGAGGGGTTCTGCTGCTGATTAACCAATTTCTAGCTTTGGTGGAATCAAATCTCCCTCTCTTAGACCAGCTTGTAAAATTATAGTCTTCATTGGAGTTCAAGGCTATACTTTGGATCCTACTTAGAAGGTCATCACTCAGCTGGAACCCCATCTTCTGTTCAATAGTAATCCTACATGGAGAGTGAATATCACTCAGGCAGGAGTTAACTGTTGACTCGGTAATGGGGCCTACAAGCTGAGATCTAACAGAGTCAGCTTGTAACCATCTATCTCCCCAAAAGTTAATGCTCCTCGCATTACCTGGCTCCCATTAAAGGCTATGGTTAAATAAATCCCAACCCCTCCCTACAGCAGACCAGATGTGAGACCCTTTATTAAAAGGGGTAGGTGTATTTTTTCCTTTGACATATTTGTCAAAGAGGAGTTTCCCTGCCCAGTTGAACCTAGTATCTACCATCCAGCATAATCTGGCTAATCCTAATTGGTTCAGCTCACTGTTATTCAGAACTCCTAAGCCCCCTTTCTCCTTCTCTTGGCAAACATTCTTCCAGGCAATCCAAGTGACTTTCTTTTTGGTTGTGTCCCCCCCCCCAAAGAAATTTGAACAGATTGAGTCAAGTTTTCCTAGAATGAACTAAGGGAGCTTGATGCAGGACATCATATTCCTAGGTATAGAGAGCATGGTGGATTTCAGCAGCACGCACCAGCCTTCCCCCCTAGAAAGACAGTTAGATTTCCAAGTAGCCAGCTTTTTACCCATTTTTTCAATTAGGGAAGATAGTTGTCTTCTTGTAGGTCTTTTGTCAGACAAAGGGTATCCTAGATAGGTACCTAAATCATAGGAGGAGCTGACATTTATACATTGCTCAAAGTCATCTCTAATGTTCCTTGGAGTGTTATTTGAGAATTTTTTTTGCTTTTTTCCTGATTGCATTCTATGTGGATTTTTCTAGAAAGGAATTCCAAGCAGAGGATAAAGAGGTAAGGAGATAGGGGGTCACCTTGCCTTATTCCCCTAGTTGGATAGAAAAGGGAAGAGAGTTTGCCATTTATAAGAATGTTGCAGGATATGATAAGGGAGACAGTGGAAGTGTTGAAGTTAAAGAAGGAGAGGCAGTGTTGAATGAAGGACCATTCAAGCCTATCATAGGCCTTTTCTAGGTCTAGATTTAGAGCAAACAAACCTCTACTACCCTTTCTTTTTCTCATTGAGTGAAGTATTTCAGAGGCTAGGATGTAATTTACCTCTGTCCCTCTACCTTTTAAAAAGCTGTTTTGGTTTGGGGAAATAATGTTGTAAAGGTGAGGCCTAATTCTATTGACTAAGATCTTTGAGATGATCTTGTAAGAGGTGTTTACCAGGCTTATAGGTCTAAAACTGGTGATTTGGGTGATATCACATATATTTCCCAATATCAATCATATCTCTAACACCCTTAGCCTTTTTTTGAGAAAATACAAATGTGTAACATTGATAAACATATACTTCGTATAAATGTTTTATTAAGGGGTATCTATGTAATTAACCTATAACTTGGGTTGACAGTTGACTGAAGTTTTTAGCATTAACATTTACTTTCTCTCTCCTCCTTCAAGCTTCAATGGGGGATCTAGTTTTCACTTACTTCTCTATCCTCTTTCAACGAACCATTGATTTTAATGCCGGAGTTTACATTGCACCTCTGATGAACATCCGCAAAACATAGTAAAATAGAGAAGTAACGAAATCAATGGAAATTAAAAAGAAGCTCACTTTCCGTTAATAGTTAACCATGCCCTTTATCTCTCCCTTTGTTTTTAGGGATTTTGTTTAATTATAATATTCATCTTATATGATTTAATAATTTTTATTACTTGAAAATATGTACTTTAATTTATATTTATTTGTAATGTACAAAAAATTATTAACACTATGTTTTTTTCCATATGTTCCTTATTATAGTATATCATATAATTAATGATCTTTATTATTGGATCTCTTGAAAAACTATTTTAAATGTCCATATTCTTTGATTTTAATTGTAATATACTTTTATACTCACATAAAGTACACAATTAGAATTATAATTAATATACAAAAAATTATAGAATTAATAAATGATATTGAAGATCAATAAGGGTTAAATCACAAAATATAAAAGACATATTCAAATAATTTAGACACTTGTAGGGAATAATTTCAAGCCTTAAAATCCCACTATCTTGAACCCCACTGTGATCATACACTAAAGTACGGTGGAGTCCAAAAGGGAAGAAGATAGAGCAAAAGAGTCGCCAACAAGTTTTAGGAACTTGTAAACCGTTCACAGGATGAAGGTTACACCCCTTAACGATCTAAGAGATCGTCAACTCCATAAGGTCTTGAACCAAATAAGGGTTCGAGGATGAAGGTACAAATCCAACCTAAAAGAGATTGAACCTGCCCTAATAATAGGCCTCTACTTTATTCTGATCGTATTTATATGCGCTTTCTGATTAACATGCAATCAATAGGTTTAACTAACCCTAAACATGTTTAATCTATGTTGGTTGAATTTAATGCACAAATAAACCTATTATTGGCGATCACTTGAATTATAATCACATTAACTCTAACAAGATTATTAATATCTTATTAAGCGCGACTACAAATACCAATTCCCTTTAAACATGCATAAGAGGTGTGATCAAGTAATAAATATAAATATCACAATAATAATCATGAATAATAATTATAATAATAATATCATTATAAATAAAATAATCATCATCAAAATAATAATAATAATAATAATAATAATAATAATAATAATAATAATAATAATAATAATATTCATAATAATAATAATCATAAAAATAATCATGGTAATCATGTTAAAACATAATAATAGCAAGATGCTAAGCATGATACTAACAAGATTAATAACAAACCCTAGCATGTCACTAAACAATAAATATCAAATCTTTAACCCTAACATGATACTAACAATCACAAATATTAGGAAGAACATAGGAAGCATCGTAGGAATCATATTTAATATTAAAATTACCCTAGACATGATACTAGGAATATCATAATAACAATGTAAACATGATTTCTACATCATAACATCAATATAAACCATTAAAGTACTTACTTTGATGTTTCGTACCTCTTTCTAATAACAAAATAAACACGTTAGTAACTTCAAGGAAAATAATAAACAAACAATTAAATTAGATAATTGAAAGAGAGATTTGAGACCAAACCCTCAGAAATTAAACCTTTCACGTCTAGGGCGAAGGCAACTTCGAATATGGCTAGGTGTTTCTAGATCTTGTGAATGCGGAATTTTGTATGAAAAAGCAAGATTTGAATTAAGAGAGAAAGAGAGAGAGATGAGAGAATTAGAAAACTGATTGTCGGTGAATAATCGTGAGAATTGGTGTGAATTGGTTGTAGGTGAATGAAAACGGAATTTTTTAATACGTTATTTATAGAGAAATCAGCCAAAAAGATAAAATATTAAAACAGAGCACTTGGCGCACGTAAAACAAGATTGGCGCACCTAAAACAGAGCTGGCGCCAACACCAGCTTATTGGCGCCAGGTGCCAATGGCTAGCACCAGGCGCCAATGGCTAGCACCAGGCGCCAATGGCTGGCGCCAGGCGCCAGACCTGGTTCTAGGCGCTGATTTCAGAAATTCACGCATTTTTGTTTTTATCATATCTTTTGATCCGGAAGTCCAAATAAGGCATATAATATGACGTTGGAAATCTCTTAAATTCTACTTTCCAACCCAATCAGAATCAGATTAAAATATTTTATAGATAAAAAGATATGGCCAAAATAGTGGAAGGGTGTCAATTTTGGATAAAGTTTCATGTCTCATTCATATCTTTTTCGTTATAACTCGGATTTAATATTATAATATATCATTGGAAAGATAATTTCAAGATCTATCCAACCATATAAAATTTGGATAAATATTATGAGGCACGAAAATAAAAGCTGAATATATTCCACTTCGTACAAAACAAGGATTCTTAAAAGAAGTAGTTTTATTCAATTTCAAACTCTATAAAACATAATTATCAATCCTAACTCCATTAGGATTTAAAAGAACCTTCTAAAGTATTCTAAAAGACTATAATCAATCCTAATAGATTTAGGAATGATAATTAATAATAGGCCCTCCTCTAGATCATTGGGCCACATATAAAATCAAATCGGGCCCAGTTTAGTATTTTGGCCATAACTTCCTCGATATTCATCGGAATTGGGCTTATAATGTATCGTTGGAAAGGTCTTTTCAAACCCCATCCAACTACACCATTATTGGACCCATATCAAGGACCAACCAAACTGGATTGACTGTTTTCTTAAAATAAGTTTTCAAAAACAGAGAGAAGAGAAAAGAATTAAAAACTATCCGCAACACTAGACTTTCCACACTTTCACTTCATTCGATTATGATTCGACGTGAAAGGTACTCATCACTGGGTTTGGTTTTGGGGAGACACAAATGGGTGTCTACAACACTAAAACACATACAAGCTTAACAATAACACAAACTATTAGGTCAGTCAAGCCGGACCAAATAGTTTGTGCGCCGGAGGAGATGACGATGACGAAAAGACGACGATCACGATGATGACATAAATGGTGGATCTTCTTCTCTCCCTATAGGCGACGGTGACGATGTCGATGACGACATCAATGGAGAAGGAGAGAAGCAGGGTCATTCATGGCAAAAGAGAGAGAAAGTTATTTCTCGGATTTTTCAAAAAATGCCTAAAAAATTGAATTGGGGCTTTCTTATATGATGTATAATTGTTGAAATTGTTTGTCCCATATGATTGTATGTTGAATTGTGAGCATTTTGATGACATATGCATGTATTTTGGTTGAGAAATGAGTAAGTTATGTTATACCCATTACCTTTAGTACGAGCTCTTCGATGGTGGTTCCACCATTGTTATACATATCATCAAAAAAATTATACATACATATCCTTGTATGATATCCTCTATTGACTGGATGATATCCTATATTGGCTATATTATATCATGGATGGATGATATCCTCTATTGGCTATATATATGATATCATTTATGATTGTGTCTATGATATCCTTTATTGGCTGGATAATATCCTCTATTGGCTATATGATATCATGGTTGAATGATATCCTTTATTGACTATATGATATCATTTATCATCCAACCAGTATAAATATCATCCAGCCAATAAAGGATATCACATAGCCAATAGATGATATCATCCGACCAATAAAGGATATCATCCAGCCAATATAAGATATCACATAGCCAATAAATGATATCATATAGCTAGTAGAGGATATCATCCCGTATATAGAGGATATCACCCCGCCAATCGAGGATATCAAAAATCCGCATTTCGTCAGTTCGGACTGACGAAACATTTTGTCAATGCGGACTGACGCAATACCTTCTCTAACAATAATAAGAACAAAAACTTTGAAAAAACATAAGGGATAGAAGAAATTAACACAATGATAAAACAAACATAATACCTAAAAAAAACATAAAAGGAATAAACAAATATAAGCATAGAAGAACATATTATTTAAGTAAAAGAACATACGAAGTATTTTGTATTGTTGAAACCCAAAGACCTTTTTTAATCTACATACTACCTCTGTTAATTTTTATGTGCAACTTTGGGGTATTATTTGTGAGATATAAAATATTCCAAAGTTGCACATAAAAATTAACGAAGGTAGTATATATATATATATATTTTTTTTTAAAAAAACATAGTTTATATTGTAAATAAAGAATATATAATTTAACCTAAGGAACATAATGACCAAACTCAATAAACATACTATGCTCGCATTCTTTGTAAATGTATGTAATGTTCTTTATTTTGCCCGTATTCTTTATACATATATGACTACTATATGTAATGTTGTTTCCATGGTGCACCATCGCATGTTGATGATGCACCCGGATGAACCATAGAAATTTCATATATATGGAGCGTGTACAATATAATTTTTTTTTCCTTTTTTAAATAATGTGTGAGTGAACCACTAAGGCTATACTAAATTACTAATTACATAATGAAGGTGTCAGGATTTAAAATCTATAATTTATTAATTTATTATCGTACATAAGCCCTCAAGCTTTAATGGTGAATTCACTAGCATTTGTAGGTCTACTTACAGTGTGTTTGGATAAAGAAAGATGATGGAAAAGAAAGGGATGGAGGAGAAAAGGAGGGGAGAGAAGAATGGTGAGTTCTTTCTAGATCTCTCCATTGTTAGAGGGATCAATTTCCTACAATTTAATCCCTCCATTTCTCTCCCCTTCAATTCCATTCCTTCATCATTTGTTATCCAAATGAAAAATATCTCATCTCTCTATTTCTCTTCCTTTCTTTTCCCTCCATTTCCTTCAATCCAAACACACCGTTAGACCGGAAAGGTTACATAGGCAAAGCTATTAAATCTAGATATTGGTCACTAATCGCTACATCCAAGTTTAGGAATTTCCCTCTTGTTTGTGATATCTGGGCTTCAGCTTTGTTCAGAGTTACATGGCTTCATCTGTAGTTGATCATATAGATAGGGGTCCTATATATGTTACGTTACAAGATTGAGTTTCAACTGCATTGGCCTCACTATGTTGCTTTAGCCAATTAATGTACTTTGTGGTTCTGTAGATATAGTTGTCAACATATTCATATTAATCTTGAACAAGATACATGGAGGTGAAACTAGGAAGAAGACTAGTATATTGCAAATATTGTAACAAATTAAATTATCACCCAGGATGCATAGATTACAACTATATGCAAATGAATCGCATACACTAGTATATAAGATGTGCTAACAAGTAAAAGTCATAATGTTTTTGCAGTTGTCTGCCATTCCTTCTTCACAAGATCTTACAAAACATAGAAGATCACTGAAAAAATTCTGCTACTAGTTTGGGTCATAAGAAGTCGTAAAAGGCAATGATACAACGCAAACGTGCCTTAAGCCTACATCTTATACTCTAACTGTTGCCTGCTTAAAACCTTAGTTTTATCTGAACTGGTTCAACACTAACACATGAAAATTTATACTCTGAAGCTTCAAAGGAAATAGCGGAAAATACCTACAGGCAATACAAGATCATAAGGAAAATAAGTATTAGACTTTCCAAGTCCTACAAGGACCTTCGCTTCCTCCATCATCGATTTCTTTGTCAATCCATCAACTACCTTCTGCAACAAAGACTCATCAACCGAGCACTGATGTCTAAACATCCTCTTGGACACTTTATATGCCAAGCCATAATCGCCTTTGTCGCATAGAAAAGGAACAATGGTGTTGAATGTAACCCTGTTGGGAGAACAACCGCTGTTCAAGAGCTCATAATACCATCGTCCAACTTCATCCAAATCATCATTCTTACATGCTCCTAGAAGCAAAGCATTGTAAGTACCAACATCAGGCCTCAGTCCTTTACTTTCTAACTCTGTGACAAACCCCTTCGCCTCGAAAACCCTGCCATCATTAACAAGTCTTTGCACCTTGAAATTATAGCTTAAAACTTCAGGATTCACACCCTTTTCAATCATCCTTTTCCATATCTTTTCACCTTCCTCAAACCCCTTACTCTCATAAAACGCACAAAGAAGCGTATTATACGATACGACACTCGGGTTTAAGCCATTTTTCTCCATCTCATCAAGCAATGATAATGCATCATCAAACAACCCAAGTTTACACAGAGCATGAGCTGCTGTATTATAGCAATGTACACTCGGTTTAATCGTCAACTTAGAGGGCAGCACACGAAAAAGCTCGATAACTTTATCATATTTCCCTGTATTAGAAGCAGCTCCTAAAAGGGCATTGAAAGATTTGAAATTTTGAACACAACCTCGTTGAGGCAATTCGTCGAACACCTTGCGTGCATGATCAAACAAACCAGCTTTCCCATATAAATATATAAGGCGAGCAGCAAACGGTTCCCCAGCAATGTAAATTTTCTGGGATTCTAATGCTTCTTCAATTAAAGTATTCTGCTTTGCAAGAGAAAGACGATGAATTGTATTTTCGTAAATTTTATGCTTTTGCCTGAAATACTTTTCTTGAGATAAAAATTTGAACTTTTGTACTAGTTTTTGAGGGTCTTTCTCATCTAAGAGATCTTTAATACCCAGATTAATGGCTTGATTGTTGGAAGAATTTGGTAATTCAGTGGATTTTGGGGTCTTTGATTTAATGGAGTTTGCTGCGTTTCGTGTTGAAGAAAATAGGCCATGAAGACGAGTGTATACGTTGGATTTTGACATTGTGTGTTTATATAAGTGTGTTTTTCAATTGAAAGTTGGATTCAAGTCATACAACTATACAAGTATACAAGATACAAGTATATTTTTTTTTTTTTTTTTTTTTTTTTTTTTTTTTTTTTTTTTTTTTTTTTGGTTTGGGCACAATTAGTCAATTAGAACTTGAAACCGACTAAAAACTGGAGTTTAAGTGTTTAATTGAAAATGTAGTTGTGTGACTTGTGTCTTAATTTTTCCACATTGGCTCGGTTAAGTGTAAATTCTTATGGCCCTTAATGATGATGGATGGAATAGGATGATATCAATTTAATTTAGTTTGGTTCATTTTGAAACAATTACAATTTCAATTTCAATTTCAATTTTGTCTAATTTTTGGGATGGGTTCAAATAAGGCTGGATGCACTCGTATTTGAGTCCAATTCAAATTATAGTGTTCAAGTCAATGACAAGCACGATACAGAAGCACTTGGTAGATATCCAAGACAAGCATCATGCTTGTATATGTGACAAGCTTTACTAAATTAACAAGGCAAATTGTTCCGCTATTAGTTAGTTTTGATCCTAAGAAATCACAAAGAGGCAATGACACAAAAGAGATTCATAACCCAGGTCTAAAACTTACAACTAATGCCAACAAAAGAACCTTACATAAGCTAAAACAGTTAACCTATGAATTTAGTCAGTTAGTCTCCAAGCTTGATTTGAAATAGCCCATAATACCAGTAGGAGGCAAATCAGGCAATACAAGATTATAAGGATGATAACTGTTAGACTTTCCTAGTCCCACAAGGATCTCAGCTTCCTTCATCATCGAGTTCTTTGCCAATGCATCAACCGCCTTCTGCAACAAAGACTCATCAACCGTGCACTGACGCTTAAACATCCTCTTGCACACCCGAAATACCAACCCATAATCACCCTTATCACACAAAAACGGAACAATGGTGTTGAAAGTAGCCTTGTTCGGAGCACAACCATCGTTCAAGAGCTCATTATACCATCGTCGTACCTCATCTAGATCATCGTTCTTACACGCTCCTAGAATCAAAGCATTGTAAGAACCCGCATTGGGTTTTAATCCACTAGCTTCCAACTTCAAGAACAGCTCCCTTGCTTCGGAAATCTTTCCATCTTTGACAAGTCTATGCAGCTTGAAATCATAGCTGATTACACTAGGAACCACCCCACTTTTAATCATCCTTTCCCACTGTTTCTCACCCTCATCAAACTCCCCCTTCTCATATATCACACCAAGCAGCGTATTGTACTTAATCACACACGGTTTCACCCCATTGTCCTCCATCTCATCGAGCAACGACACCGCCTCATCAATCAACCCGAGTTCACACAGCGCCTGAGCAGCCGTATTATAACACCCAGTCGACCGTTTAATTGACAACTTCGACGGAAGCTCACGAAACAGCTCATAAACCTTATTGAAATCCTCACAATGATAAGCAGCCACTAAAAGGGCATTAAAAGTTTTGGCATTCTATTGTAAACCTCGTTGAGGCAATTCGTCGAACAGCTTGCGTGCACGATCAAACAACCCAGCTTTCCCATACAAATACATAATCCGAGCAGCAAATCCTTCCCCATTAATGTAATCTTTCTGGGATTCAAGCGTATCTTCAACTAAAGAAATCTGATTAGCAAGAACAAGTCGATGAATTATATAAGCATAAATTTTATACTTTTGCCTGAAATACTTATTTGGAGACAAATACTTGAATTTTTCAACTAGTTTTTGAGTGTTTCTCTCATCTAAAAGCTCTCTAACACCATTATTAATTACTTGATTATTAGCTAAGGCAATCAATGGCTGTTCATTTGGGGTAATTAGGGTTTTGAATTCTGGTATTTTTGTTGGTTTTGGTAACTTGGGTTTAATGGTGTTCGCTGCATTTTTGGTGAACAGGCTATGGAGGCGAGCGCATGGTTTGGACATTTCTGTTGATTGTCACTGTTTCAGGGTTTAAGCAACTATAGGAAGGTTAAAGAAGAGTGGAGTTTTTGAATTGAAATTATGGGACGAAGGGAGTAATAAAAGTAAGGTACGGATTATGATGGCTATAGCCTGGCAAACATTGGGGCTAGGATTTTTGCACAAAAATTACTCGTTAAGTGGCTTGATTCGGATAAAGGATTAAGTCATGACTAATTTTTGTGCCAAAGTTTTCTTTTATAGAGACGATAATAATTTTTTTCGAAGGTATATAAATTACTAATAAGATTTGGGTTGGTGGAAAATTATTAGGAAACTTGGATTCTCTTTGAGTATGGGTCTGCTGGTTAGACTCGTGTTAGTAAGCTCAGTCTCTATCTATTGCTTTAGTAGATATTTGATACAAACAGTAATTGTATATTGGTTCATTTAGCCCAAAAATATGACAATTCACCAAATTGTGTAGTTTGTGTTTGTGAAGATTGTTAAACTTGTTATTAACAATACTTGAATTGAACCCCGATTGGCACAAATGTATCCCTAGCCAAACAACCAAATGACTTACTTAAACTGATTGCGAAGTGATTATAATAAAACTCCAATCAATCTGAATGGATACATACTCAACATAGATTAGTTTATTACATTTTTCATATAGATAAAATCCCATATTTGTCATCCACATCTCATAGTTGTCCTTTATAAATAAAAATTATATATGTGCTTTGTGGTGATTTAAATGACATTCAACTAAACAAGTTGATGACATAATAAATCACATAAAAATAAACGAAATATGATCTCTACATGTAAGCTTGTAGCTGCTTTCTTTAAAATCGTGGCATGGTACAAACTACATATCTAGTAGGTCAAAACAGACTTAACTAGCTAACCCAAATTACGCGAGCTTAGCACAAGGCACAATAGAGTGCCAACTTAATGTATGACGAATGATCTCTTACTACAAGGTAATATTTAATATCTTAGCTAGGGGTGTGCTAAAAATAGCCCTGACCTGAACCAGATTGGACCTAATAGGACCTGACCGGTGAATTTAGGTCCGGTCTCCGATGAAATAAGGAACTTAGCACGAGTGCAATAATCTTTACAGACCTCCAGATCCACATATATTGAAGCTAATTCTAAGATAACCCATTTGAGCCCAACTGGGCCTAGGCCTAACTTGGACCAGTTGATCCAATATGACTATGAGCATATGAATAAAATACTCAATAAATATTAACGAGTAATATGTGATGGGTAAAAAGTCTATAACTAATTATTAATGTAATCTTCTCTTTACATTCATAAATAAACAACACATTAATACAAATTTTTGACAATCTAATTAACCATCTTTCTAAGTATTCTTACAAGTGCTGGGTGACAAGTCTCACGCAAACTAATTGTAATACATCAAAAAATTTTAAGCAAAGAGAGTAATAATGTTACCTTAATTGTCTCACAAAAAGTTTTGAGAGATTGTCTCAAACAAAGCATTCATAACAACCTCTTGGATTTTGGTGACTACTATAAAATCAATGTGAGATAGTCAAAATTTACCAAAAAGAAAAGATAAAGTCTCAATCTTACAATAAATTATTGTGAGACCGTCTCATACAAGACTTTATCACCTTTCTACTTTGGTAAAGTATGTCATAAACGGATCTATGCTATCTTTCTTGCGTGCTCCAAGTTCAACATAATGTTCTCTCAACATTTAAACTACAATTTTTAACATTCATGTCTTCTGTATAGAGTATACCACTGTAAACTAACCATTACCTAGGGTCCATCTCTGTTGTGCTGGATGTTGCTGTAAACGCTGAGGCAGAGAGATCTATCCCAGAGTAGTCATCAATCTCCGAATAAGCACCTGCTGCGAAGAAATGAGGCGCTGTAGGTCGTGGTAGAATGACAGAATCACCATTAAACGCAGCTACTATTGTAGCCATTCTTGGTCTTCTAGAGGCATCTTCTTGGATGCACAATAACCCAATGTGGATGCATTTTTCTGCTTCTTCCAATGATATATCATCTCCCATTCTCGAGTCTACCAATTTCATTGCAGACCCCTCATCCCAAAGCTTCCATGCCTGTAGTTACAATAATAGTAGCACGTTCAATACATAATACTCCATCCGTCCCAACATAATTCATCGCTTTCAAAATATAGTAAGTTAAAAAACTAGCCAATACTATACTTATTGACGTATTCATAATACAAGCAACATTGGTAAGTTTGAGATAAACTTTAATGATAATGGACAATTATGATTTAGAAACGGAAGGAGTTGTTGTGAAAAGAAGTACTTACACGATCAAGTAGAGACTCTTCATTTCCGTTAAGTCTGAAGAAATTGTTCAACTGACCACTGACTATCTCCAAAACTAAGATCCCGAAACTGTATACATCAGATTTTGCTGAATAATGACCAGCAATTACATATTCTGGTGCCATATATCCGCTGCATCAGATTGTTAACTCTGTCAGATTTTAAGCTAATTGATTGCTTCTTGTGTTAAGAGCTACTGAAATATCAAGGATAATATATGGAAACAAAGTTCCAGAAATTATATGGAAAAAGAGAACAAGCTACTTACAAAGTTCCTGCTATTCTACTAGTGTTTCTCTGGGTTTCATCTGCCTTGAAAAGTCTTGCCATACCAAAGTCTGAAATTTTTGGATTCATATCTTCATCTAATAGTACATTACTAGCTTTAAGGTCCCGGTGTATGATCTTGAGCCGGGAATCTTCATGAAGATAGAGTAACCCTCTTGCAATGCCTGATATAATCTTAAACCTTGTTTTCCAATCCAAAGATGCAGACTTTTTTGGGTCTGACAAGCAATATGTATTAGCAGAATGTAGATGGTGGTAAGAGAGAAAAAGCATATGACATTAACTTTGATAAAATCAGATCATTGGTGAAAATTATACCAGTTAAGAATCGGTCAAGACTTGAATTTGGCAAGTACTCGTACACAAGTAATGTCTCCTCTGTAGCAAGGCTATATCCAAGGAGTTTCACAAGATTTCGGTGTTGGAGCTCTGCAACTAGAAGCAGTTCTGTCTTAAACTCCGAAATGCCTTGTCTGGAGAACTTTGACAGCCGCTTTACTGCCACTTCTTCTCCGTTGTCAAGCATACCCTGGCAGAACATGGATATAAATAAAATTTTTCACATGTAATATGAACTACTGAAAATATCCAGACAGCCTATGATTCCATGAAACCTATAAACTTATGCTAAGAACAAGGGAGCATAATACAAGAACAATATAGGACAAAATTGGCTTATGAACATGCATAACAATCATTACCCTGAACACTTCACCAAATCCACCTTCTCCAAGTTTTCTATCATCTGAAAAACTATTGGTTGCAGTTCTTATTGTGCTCAAGTCGAATTTCAAGGATTCCACTTCAATATCATTGAACCCTGCAAAAAAATTAAAATTACATCAGTTGAATTTTCTATTAATGTTTGCTTCTCAGCAAAGGCATGCCACAATATCTACAACGCAAAATCACAAACATGCTCATAATTCGATAACAATGAGTCTAGGACTCTATGAGATGTTGAATCTGACTTCATGCCAACCAAGCAACCAAAACATAAGCATTCAACTGACTTTAGTAACCAATATGTTAAACCCAAGCTACATATAGTATTAGATGCTTTACATTTCCATATCTCTAACTAGGGTGATTCCTTTATCAGCACCCTTTAGCTCTGCCTACGATGATCAATATAATATATCAACATGACACTTACTTCTAGCAATATATTCAGGCATAGTATCGTATCAACAATAATATGAAGGAATTTGATTAAAGTTTTTTCACTCAGTAATTCTAGCCCGAATAAGGATTTAGGTTGTCTCACCTGCAAGTTCCTTCTTGGACTTCCTCCTGCATACGTAAAACAGAACTCCAAAGAAAATTATCAATGCTAAAACTGCTGCTGTGATAGTGCTTATCAGTATTGCCTTCTGCTTTCTTGTAGCTTTTTGAGGTTTTTCTGTTTCAAACCATATACAGATTGAGTTGATTAATCTAAAGAACAATACACAACAGCAAAACAACAAAAACACATCATTTAACAAATTTTTTGTATAAAAGGTAACATTCAACTGATTGTCTGAGTAATGACAAATATACAGTTACAGCAATCTTTCAAAGCAGTCCAATTCTGCCGTAGAAAAAGGGCAAGTAAAGGTTCAAAAAGGGCGAGAGATTACAAAATCCCCAATAGGTGATGCTCCCCCCCCCCCCCTCTCCTCCTCTACCCAAAACCCTCAAATGCCCCAAAAAAGGCTGACAAGTTAAATTTACTTTACAATCAAGTCTAACCCCTGGGCTCATAGTAACAAAAGTGAACACGATTAAAACATATTTATGGCACTCATTTAATTCAGGTCGAAACAAATAAGCACAAGAAGAAGATTTGGATCTAGGGAGACTAAAACTTTAAATACTTCAATACCAAAATGGAAAGTTGACTTCAAAAAATTGTATCTCAAACCAGCTTAGCCTAAAAACAAGCTGTTGACTCACCAATCATCACATACTTTTCTGTTCATAGAGGTTCAGAGACCAAACCCAACAGAATATATAAGATAAGGTCATAAGGGATTCATATTCAGCACCTATTATACTCAGAACCACTATGATAATACACAATGTTTTTCATCCATATAATAAATAAACAACTTTATTCAAAGTTTCTTACCTTTGATGAGAGCAAATAAAGGCGCTTTAGAATTTGCATCATCTCCATAAAAAGGGTAAATGTCATATCTCATATTACAATTCGGACACATCAAAGTGCAACCAGCCTTAACATTGCAGAGCTCTGAAGTATTCCCAATAACCATTTGAAGACAACGTCGACAATCTTTCAGAGATATATCAGGTGTGCATTCAACAAGTGTGTAAAGAGTGTTCAAATTTGACAGGTTACCAACAAATCTAGCTTCTTTTGTTGCAAACTTTCTGTCTATTCGACCATCTGTTGCATTGATCGTAGCTTTCCACATAGTATCAAGCAAAACTTTCGTAAAAGCATCCATATTATTCGTAACATTCCAAATATCATGAGAATTCTGTCTGTTCCACATAGGTATCATAGGAGCATCACGCATAGTACCAAGAAAAGACTTATCAGAGTAATGAACAACACATTGATCATAATACCATACTGTTGACTCTTTCTTTCCAGGACAACGAACGCCTATTGCATCCCTAGCCAAAGACACACACTTCTTGCAGGCGGCATCCTTAACATCCAGACGAC